GATATAAAGTAGCACTCTTCTCAAATCATGTGCTCAGGATCAGTTTGAAGGACTGCCTATGTGCAACAGAGCATTCTACTTAGGACAGACAAATTTCTCCAGTGTTTGTTTGGCTAATTAGCAGTTCCATGAAGAACAGTGCTGACATTGTTCTGGGAAAGGTTTTTTCCCCCTGACTTCCCTTAAGCTCCTCTTAGTTCACATGCAGAAAAGAGATAAACTGCTGCTGTTCCAGCACCACCACTACTACTGAAGAGAAACAGCAGATTTGGAATGGATGGGGATGGAATTTCACAGGGAGAGAGCAGGAGATGAAAGGGCTAAGTGTAAGCTTTTAATGTAACCCCTTTTACCCTAGTATAATAGTTCCTTCAAAGAAGGTCTTGTATTTTGTCCAACGGAGGCTGAAATTCAGTGGAGTAATCTACATATTTTACCCCTGACTCTTTCCCATGCTGACCACAATAACTTTGAGATTTCTGTCAATGATAAAAAGCTCCCAAAGCTCCCAATCACTGAACCTTTTGAACAGAGGTTTCAAGTTCTTCCAGTGTTTTCAGATTGTTTTTTTGGCAAGGGAATTCTCATTCTGAAGACTGAACCACAAATACTCATGGGGAAAAAATAAAATATTCACACTTATGGAATTTCTGAGAGTGACATATTCCTTTTATTTATTTCCTTTTGTAAAATCGTTCCATTCTTCTCAATAACTGCATAGTCTTGTGACAATTTATGTGTGCCATGAATGTTTTTTTTTAATGTAATAACTCACATTACAGGTAGTCCTTGACTTACGATCACAATTTGGGCACAACAACCCAAAATTTCTGCTGCTAAGCAAGACAGTTATTAAGTTGCCTTCTTCCCCATTTTATGATCTTTCTTACCATCGTTGTTAAGTGAATCACTGCAATTATTAACTTAGTATCACGGATATTAAGTGAATCTGGCTTCTTCATTGACTTTGCTTGTCAGAAGGTCACAAAAGGTGATCACATGACCCCAGGACACTGCAACAGTCATAAATGTTAATGAGACCATAGAAAGTTTAAAAATACAATACAATTAAACCAGGGGTGGGATTCAATTTTTTAACAACTGGTTCTGTGGGTGTGGCTTAGGTGGTGGGCAGGCTTGGTGGTCATGTGACTGGGTGGACATGGCTTGGTGGTCATGTTATTGGCTCAATATCACTCACATCGAGGCACACATCTCCTCGCCTGGCCTCTCATTACTGTGGGGATGCTGCAACAGTCATAAGTGTGAAAAATGGTCATAAGTCATGTTTTTCAATGCCATTGTAACTTTGAATGGTCACTCCACACAAGCAAAGTACCAACTGGTTCTAGAGAATATGTGCGAACGGGTAGAATCCCACCCCTGAATTAAACAATATAAAGGAAACAATAAGATTCAAGATCTGTAAACAAATCCACTTCAATTTTCCCCATCCCTTTATTCAATAGAATTCCACAATGGGGCAAGAAAATGATGTATTTAACATTCATTCTTTTTCTTCTTCGTGAGTTTTTCTGTTATTCTTTCCTTGACCTTTTAATTTCCAAACCTGGAAAATGTGCCAGTACTTTATAGCAAATAGCTGCTTTTGCAGAGGCAATTTAAAATGGGAAAATAATGTAAGGAAGAATGATCACTGGATGTATCCTTCGCCCAATTTAATTCAAGTTCCATTATAGCCTCCTTTTACATCTGATCAGAGCTGCCCCAGTGCTTGGTTTATTATATGCCATAGATGAACATATTATTATAAATTACAAGCTTCATTTAAATTGTAAGGCCATAAATTAACAGTAAACACACACACACACACACACACACACACACACACACGTACAATTGACAGATACAAGCAACTTTTAAAAAATGTTCCGATGAAAGACCTCTGTACCATGATTCAATTAAATTTCCCACTTTTCATTAAATCTAATCACATTGATGAACGCATAAAATTTCATTCTAAAGCAATTTCTATAGAGGAAAGTTTGAATGATTACTAAACTATTATTTTAAGAAACAAACATGTTGTTTTGATTAGCATTTTGTGGATAGAAACAATATTAGGAATGCTATGGCATTTCTGTGGCAGTCATTAAATCTGACATTAAAAAATGCACTTCTAGAAAACTTATAAATGGTGAAGCTAGAAAGAGATTTGAGTTGTTTTTGAGCAACAAGAAAGCTATAATGATATGTGTTTCTTCACAGACTTTTTCAAGTACACAGTGGCTGCAATTTCACGGATACTTACCTTGTAGTAGCTAAACATTCAAACTTAGTTATGAATACAAAGCCTACAAAACTAGGCAGCATGATGCACAAACTACTTCTTAATCAAAGCTGCACAATAAATACATCAGCAAATTCTTTGCCCAGGTGATTGATGTTCATCTGTATAAATACTGCAATGCATTTGTAGATTTTATACATCTGAGTTAAAATGTATTCACATTTATACATTTGAAAAATTGTGCCACCATAAAAATATATACATATTTTATTCATGTGAAATACACTTCTAAAAAAATTGTTCTTTGCAAACATTATAAAAGCAATCTCATCAATGCCTTTATATTTAAATAGCAATTTGCTACACTCATATCTTTATTGGACCCTTTAATTAGAATTTGTAAAAGGTTCGCTATGGTTGGCTGTGATTGCATGTGCCTGGCAATCTGATACCATTTTATATATTGATGGCCCTTTTTCTAGCTAGGTCAATGTTATACCAAGTCTCTTTTCAAAGTGAATTAAATTTCAATGACAAACTGAATTTTTAAAGTGACAACAATGGGGAAATCTAACTCTGTTAATACCAAGGGGTTAATAAATGCAGCTGTGAATGTTGTAAAATTGTACTCTAAATGTAATTCATATTATAAACCTATTTGGTTTAATCACATACTTAGGCTTCAAATTTATTTTATTAATATCCTGATTATGCTGAAAGATCAATTTTAATTTATATTATGATTCACAGAACTGAAGAGAGCAGGCTTAGCAGTGGAAAACTTTTTTAGAAAAGTATTTTTCAAACAATGTTTTCAATTCCAAAAAGCTCTAATTATGGATTTTAAAATCTACTCACATATTCTAATTCCCAAGTTTGTCTGGAAGGAAAGAAGGGCCAGCAATTTACCAATGTAATATAAATATGAGCTATATACTATATCGCAAAGATAATTTAGTACAATGTACCACTTCAAAATAAGGAGGAGTTAGAAATTTATTGCTATGATAGAACTCATCAATTCTAAGAAGAAAATATATTTTGGATGATAAATGCCTAATAGCAGCATGGATTGTTTTCAAAAACTCAAAAGCAAGACAAGTTAGGCAAGTAAATAAAAGTTAAAATGGCAACCAGAAGTTAATATGGATTGAGATTTCTATTAGACTCCATGATCAGAGTACATGGAAGACTAACATACTGTATCTAACCCAACTAGATTGAATTGCAAGTCCCAGAGGTCTTTCAATAACACAGAAGAATGCAACATGCATAAAGGGCACCAGGGATGTTAGTAAAAGAAGAGTCAACAAATCAAGAGTAACACTCTGATTTCCAATTGAAATCCTGGCATTTTTTTATGTATATCACAAAGTAAATAAAAGGGGGTGGGGTTTTGAGCAGGTGGCTTTATTTCCCCATGGATGCACTGAAGGCCACCAACTTGTAGAAATCTGTATTAATAATGCTGTCTGCATTCTTCACTTTGTGTGCAGCTGAGTTGCAGTTTTAATTCTCATATTGTTGAAGAACAATGCCATTAATTTTTTAAATTCATTCCCCCCAGTGATATTAAGACTACAGTTTTACATCCAGGTTCTTAGACATAAGACAACAGAACTAATGAGTATGTAGATTGCACTGTGAAAAAAATAGACATATCCTTATAGATATTCTACAATAACACTGCTTTGACTCAATGACACAAGGCAGTATGAAATCCAATACATTAGATGTGATATTTTTGCACAAAAAGATCATTAGATGATACTCAAAAATAAAGAACAGAGAGAAACTGAGGAAAAATCTCATTTAGTGAGTCAGTAAATACTCAGTCAACAGAAAGGGCTTACTTTAAAACCTGCTGCCCTGGTTATCAGCTTCTCCTGTAAATAAGATTAACTGCCCCACTCACCTTAAGCAAAGTTCAGATATAACATAATGGATGTGTTGCTAACTAAACGTTTTGGCAGGAATTGTGGCTGCAAAGGTGTTTTCTATCTGCCTTCTTTAGGGGTATTTTTCATCAAATGTTGAAAGGGCAGCTACCAACTTTGCAAAAAGCAAACTCTTTTCCACAAGTTTCCAAATATATGTTATATATTTATGAAAAAATACTCAACTGGCATTTCTGAGAATACAGAAACTTTAAGTTTCAGAGAAGTTTGGATTTAAGTCTCATAGCTGAAGTTTAATTTGCACAAATAAGCCATTTTTAATTGTAGCTCTTGGGCTGGTAAATGCTTGTACTGAATCATTTTAACTTACACGAAGAAACTTACATGACTGAATGTTCTTCTATATGGCATACCACCCCAGAAAATAAAAACTAGGCATCTGGGAGAAAGGGAAGAAAAACTGAAACAGAATCTTAGATTATTAACTTTCTAAATGGAAGGACATGGTTTATGTAATGTAAAACCTTAATATCAAAGTACAGTTTCATTATCACAGAGACATCTATCAATAAAGGAGAATAATTGTAGCTCAATATTTGTAGCTCATTTGTAACCCAGGTTGAAATGAGGGGTCCTTGTTGCTCTCTGAGCTGTCTTGTTTTCTTGCAGATGTTTCATTACTCTAACTAGGTAACATCATCAATGCCTAGTTACCTAGTTAGGGTAATGAAATGTCTGCAAGAAAAACAAACAAGTTCAGATAAACAAACAAGTTCAGAAGGAAACAAGGACCACACACAGAAATCTATGTTCATATAGAAATATACACTAGGTCAGTGACTAAACAAATGCTTTAGATGCAGAAAATCTCCAGTTTAGTTTGGTCAAGTAGAACCAAAAATTACTCCTGTCAGAAATGTGGATATTTGTTGCCAGTCATTACACATTCTTCAACATGGCAGATGAACTGGAATTAAGTTGTCCAGTTTGCATAGTTGTTTGTAGTTCCAAAACCTGGGTGATTCCAGGATAAGGAAAGGCAGCTCTATGCTGCTGATACCTTCAATTTCATTACAAGTCACAAGCATTCAACATTGGTTACGAAGCTCAGCTAAAGTTATTGAGGTCTACAAATAAAGCATCCATTATTCCCAATTCTTCATGTTCTAGGAGTTATTTCAACAGAGAATTATTCAGGAATGGAATGAGCTGATAAATCCAACTCTCAATGGAAGACCACAAAAAGATCCGGACTACTGTAAATTTCCATATTAAATATATGCATATTTGTATAGAAGGGCAAAAAAAATCAAGAAAAAAAGTGAAGCCATAACTCAACAGCCTTTGATTTAATTAACCATTGGTGTTTCACTACTCGACAGCCTTTGAAAAAAGATGTATATTTTGAATGGAAAGACCTATCTCATACAATTCTGAGATAAATATTATAAATCCCTAGTACTCTAAAATGCAGTGATATACCTAAGTATAAAGTAATGCCCTGTGATTTGCTCCCACTACAGCAAATGCCTCTTGCAGCATTATGCTAAATCACATTTGTTTTGGAATTCATTTTCTTTAAAATCTTTACAAGAAAGGCAACTCATCCTTATACATTTACATACAGTATTATCATAGGTCACAGAAAACTGTGTACATACTCTCCATAAAAGGACATATTTCAAATAAAATAGTTATAACTTCAACAAACAATAGTGTTCCTTCTTCCCATTAGATGTAGATTTTCTGCAGCCCCCAATTTTTGTACATAAATAGAAGAAAACAGTCTTTGGAATATTTACATGCGCTAGGATTTCCTGTCAGTGAAGATTTCTACAGCTCTTTTTAAAGTTGTACTTAGTTTTCATTTTCTCTCCAGCCACGGGCATTCTTCCCAAATTTATATACCAGTCTCCGGCCATCTACACGCTCAAGAATTTCTCTTTTATAATAGTATCTGTTAAAAGGAGATGATGAAATCAGATAAATAAAAATTCATTTTCTGACCATTTCCTCTTTTAGTTTTATTTGTAACTGGACTTAGCTTTTAAGCTATTTTCACATGAAATTAGACAATAGTCCAGTATCTCATCAGGTGTTGAGTTACTTTACATAAGCCCATTGCATATAAGATAGAACATATCTGTACACTTTATATAGATTCTAATAGAATTGCCACCTTTGGTTTTGGATAGGGTGGCATTGCCCCACACAGACCCAGTGCATAATCTGGGGGTTCTCTTGTATCGTGACACTTGCTTGAAGAACAGGTGGTAGTTATGGCCAAGCAGGCTTTTGCACAACTATGGATTGTGGGCCAGTTATGCCCTTTCCCGAACTAACAATCCCTATTCATAGTCACCTATACCGTAGTCAGATTCCATTCTTGACAATTGCAACACAATCTACATGGGGCTATCCTTGAAAAGCATCCAGAGCTCCAGTTGGTTCAAAATGCAGTGGCCAGTATATTTTTGTGCAGACTTTAGTGTGCACATGTATCACTGCTCTGTGAGAGCTGCATTGGTTGCTGATTTACTTCTGGGTACAATTCAAGGTGTTGGTTATCACTTTTAAAGCCCTTCATGGCTTGGCACCAGGTTATTTGAAGGAGCATCTCTTGCTGGTCACATCCACCTTACCCATTAGAGCAGGGAGGCAAGGAATGTTGCAGGTCCCATCCCCTAAAGAGGTACATCTGGCTGGACCCAGAAGAAGGGACTTCTCCATGGTGGCTCCCTCCCTTTGAAAGATCATCCCTTCAGAAATTAAACTAGGGTTAGGGTTGATACTCTATCATAAGGCCCTGAAGACTTGGTTTTGACAGTGGGCCAAGGAAATCCAGATGGGTTCATCAAATGGCTTACTTGACTGTGTGTTGTTACCGAGTGGGTGGGTGGTTACAGTTTTTTATTTTTATTGTTTTTTATATACTGTGTTTTTTATTGTTTGTAAGCTGCCTAAGCTGCCTTGTTTGTAAGCAAGTAGACAGCTATATAAATTTTCTAAATAAATAAAATATTTTTTAAAAAAAATCCCATTGATTGAAAAATAACTATAGAAGATCTGTAACTAAAACCTACAGTGACAAATTACACCTATTGAATGCAAAATTCCTTGAACATGGTATGATATGCAAGTTTCTCTTTATCTAAGGAAATTTGGGCAGGAAATGAAACCGACCAGCAAGCTGATGCCATTCCTGTATTAAGGGGAAATCATATGATTAATATCTGAAGTACGATAAGCAGATTATTACATTGAGAAGAAATTGCAACTGTGAATACTTCTGATGATTCAGGAGGACTTGCAGAGTCCATACATGTGGGACTTAAAGACAAATGGTGAATCATTATTTAGTCAAGGAGTCAACACTTTCTCATAACTAACAAAATCTCTGTGTCCATGTGAAGACAATTTGGCAATCTTTCTAGCTATATAATGTGGTTTTCCAGGTTGTGGTGGTGGGAGCCCTCAGAGCAAGGATCTTAGATTTCCCATCTTGCCACATCAATTCAACCAGTATCCTTGGATCAGAAAAAAAAAATTATGCCATAGGAAAATAGCTTCTACTTCACACTATTTTACATTTTAAAAATTCCCCTGTGATTTTAGCATACTCTGACTCTTTGCTTGTCATTGCCAACAAGATCAAAGGCAGTTATTTTTTTTAAGCAAAATTTTGTTACCTCATGGCACGGCTGAGTTTCTCATAAGTCATGCTACTGTTGTTCTTCTTCTTTCCCCATAGCTGAGCCACCGCCTCTGATTTTAAGAATCGGAAGATGCCTTCTGACCGATCCTCCCATTTTATCAACCCAGGATTCTTCTCTGGATGAAGGAGAATGTCTCTGATAAACTCCCACAAGTGAGTTCCTCGAGGAGCTATAATGAAATAATGTTCAGAGGAAACATTATTTATGTTGAAAAACAAACGGTGATGGGTATACATTTTAGGAATTCCTAATATTTCTTTTTAAAAAGTCCTTCCTATACTTTCTTGGCTGGTTCCAAACACTAGAGTTAATCATTGGAATTTGTGGAAGGGGGTGGGGGCAAAGCAGGAAATTGATATCACAATTGCAGTCCCACCCCATTGTACATCCATGTAATGGCAACACACATACGAAAGGCAGTGTTTGGATCTCAGCATTACAATCTCTATCTTGTCGGTTTTAATCCTCCTGCACACCTAGCTGAACTTAAACCTTAATTTAATGTAATAAGCTCATATTCTTAACTCAAATTTATTCATTTATCTCAAACCTATTTCACTATTGTTCTTATTCTATGTATTTTCATTCAGTATACAGTACATTCCATAAGTCTTTAATGTCCCCCTCATAGGGTAGAAATCCAAGAATAGCTGTCTTACTGTGTTTCTTGTTATGTGGTTTTGGTGGGTGATCTTGTGAAATTTTCTTCCCTTCCAAAGACTCCTCTGCAACAGAAAAGGGTGATCAGTTCTTGCCTCTACATATCTGAATCTGTTCTAAAAATGATAATACAACAAATGTACTTAAAAATATATCCCATATTTTTCAGCCATATAGTCCTCAAGGCCTCAATTGGAAGCAGCATAAAACAAAATGGTCTTCATTATTTCAGTTAAAGTTTTCAAAGCAATTAGGAATAAGTCAATTTATTTATTTATTGAATTTATATTGCCGCCTGTTCGCCCATGGTGACTTGAGGCGGCTTACAGAATGTAAAACCATATTTAAAACAAAAAAAAAACAATAAAAACTAACAAAAATAATCAAATAAATTAATAAGGTACAATAGAACAAAATCTGGGGGAAAAAAATCACCCACAACTCTCACCCCCACCCCGACTACAGCAGCTCACACGAGCCATTTCATGAGCTCCATCCCGCTCTGAGTTCCCCAGGCCCGCTGGCAGAACCAGGTCTTCAGTGCCTTCTGGAAGAGTATTAGAGAGGGGGCCATTCTAATCTCTGGGGGAATGTTGTTGTTCCAGAGAGAGGAAGCCACCACGGAGAAGACCCTTCTTCTGGGTCCCACCAGGTGTATTTCCCTCAGGGATGGAGGACCCTCCCTGCCTCACCACTCTGATGGGCCAGGTAAATGTCACCAGCAAGAGACAATACCTCAGATAACCTGGTCCCAAGCCACGAAGAGCTTTAAAGGTGACAACCAGAATTTTGAATTGTACCTGGAATCAATTGCCCCTACCCCCCAAAATTGCAACTTTCACAGAGCACACTGAAAATATATATAAATCATGGAAATGATGCAACCCTCTCTTCACAATGATAGCCCATCCAAACTTCATAGAATCATAGACACCTTGAGTTCAATTTCCTGCTTCGTGCAGGAATTCAAATTAAATCTAAATCCACCTGAATACATTCAATATATAATGAATGGGAGATCACTCTTGGTAATTGAATTGTTCTTGCATCCAATCTGAACTTAAATCTATTATTTCACATCCTACAATCTTAATTTTCTTTTATGTAACATCTTGTCAGGTATTTGAGGAGTGTTGTCACTCTTAGTGTTCTCTTCCCTTCACTAAAAATATCCAAGTTTCTGCTTTTTTGTAACTTATTCCAGTTCATTTAAACCTTCATAAAGTTGGTGCCTAAAAGTCAACATAATACCCTAGGAAGGATTTATGTGCAGAATAAATTAGAACTATTATTTCTTATAATTTAGAAAACTATACTTCTGATATAAATTTATATTTCCTTTCTTTGCAGTGATATCAAGTGTCACGTATAATGTATAAACAATTACTTTTCCACAAATCTTATTCTCAAACTAGGTAGCTAGGTACCTAAAGGCTATCATTTGATTCCTGTTTCCTAAATGAAAGCCTTTTCATTTGCTTCTGTTTAATTTAATTGTTATTTTCAGCACATTTTTTAATCTATCATGATTCAATGTTGTGTCATTGGTATATTTGACAAGCAGTCCCCCTATCTCTTCATCTAAATAATTAAAAAGTACCAGGTTTAGCATCAAACACTATGGTTAAGTTTTATGCGAAATAGTTGATGAATATTCTTTGTGTAAAACATTTGAGCCAGCTATTTATCTGTGTAATTGTTGTGCAATCTAGACTACACTTAACTAAATTGCTAAACAGAATATCATGGATTACTTTGACATATACTTTGTTGAAATTGAGATACATTACCTCAACAACATTTCCACAATCTACTAATTAATTCAAAGTTTTCTAACAATCTGCCGAATAGATTCAACATTTTCATTGCATATTCTTTACATATGTCATCTTAACTCCTATTAATGCTATTAGTCATAAGCCATCTATTTATATATTCTTTATAAATAATTAAAAACTTCCTCTTGAATAATATGTACTATATTATTGGGCTATGAGCTCAACCATAAAATTAGGCTACAGTCCTTATTCCCTTAATCAGTGGGGCTGATTTCTAAATAGACACATTTAACACTGTATTATTTATAAATCACTGTGTGAAACAATATTTATTTTCTCAGTTTGGAACTCAATTAAGCTCTCATATTACAAAAAATGGAGGCAAAATATTCCCTCAGACAAGATCAGACAAGAAATTCAGCAAAAGTTTTGAACCTTTGTATTATATTTTGTTATTTGTTATAATAGTATATATACATAGTCCAGTTAGTGACCAATTACAGTTACAACTGTGATCAAAAATAACTTGACAATCAATTCTAATATTTGGGATCTTTGTAAGTCTTTAAGACAAAGGAAAGCTGAAGTAAAACATGAGCTTCAATTAGTGAAGTTTAATGACCAAGTTGCCAGTCCCAGTTCTGATTGCTTAAACAAGGACTACATATATCTTTGATTTCTTTCATATAAAGGAAATGTATAACATCAACAGGTGACCTGGCAAAGAGCTGTTTCTGAGGTAATGAAAAAAGTCAAATCCAGAGGAACAAAAGCCAGTGTTACTGGAAATTCTTCAAACCAACAAATTTAGAGACCTGTTTTTCTCTCATTTGCATATCATATTATGTTCAAGGGATTTTGCATTTAATAGGTCTAATTTGTAACTGTAGGTTTTAGATACAGATCTTCTATAGTTGCCTTTCAATCAATGTGATAGTAAGGAGTAGCTCCTGAACCCTGACTGTTTATGTACCAATCTAAAGCTGGTAATTGGTTTTGACTGATCACATTTGCCAAAATGATAATCAGTTTACTATGTTGATAATTTACATGTTATAAACCTATACCAATAATAGAACATGTATACAGAGAAATAGATAATTTCTGTTAAACATGTTTGACAAAATGAATGTCTGTTTAAGGTGATCACCTAACACCCTCTAAAAGAAATTATTAGCTAGAAAAATTTGCCAGGAACTCAACTTACACCTGCATCAGAGTACAGCCATTATATAGTGTCAAAAGGCATAAAGCCCACATGCATTCTTCCACCTACATTCATGCGTAAACCGCAGCTTTCAGTGGAAATTAACTATTTGCATGTGCAAATGACTTACAGTAAATACTAGTTCCAGCTTCTGTACCAACTTGTCTGAATTATTTTGTTCCAATGCTGATAAGCATACTAGGAAAATGGATATAAACTACCATTACAGAAGAAAATAGCAAGTCCTTTTGCTCAAAGCTTTAAAAAAAACCAGAACAAAAACCTCAGCTAATTGCATTCATGTCTTTTCTGCACTCGCAACATGAGGACACCATTGTCTTATACAAACTGCTGACTTTGTGGGAAAGCAACAAAGCCCAATTAAGGATTGTTCTTTCCACCCTCTTTTATTAATGTATATATATAAAATTAAAGATTTCATTAAAAGACCATAAAAACTAACACAAAGAGAAAGGGAAAGGAAAGAGAAAGAAATCAAAGAGAAGGAAAGAAAAAAAATACGGAGAAGTATTTTCTGACTTTCTTTATATCACTTATAAGTACAATTATAATTTTAGCTCTTACTCTATGGTTACAATGTTTGTTTGTTTATTTGTTTATTTATTGAAATAACTCAAGGGGGCAAACCTATCCAAGACACTTTCCTCCTATTTTCTCCAGAAAACATCAACCCTGTGAGGTAAGTTGGACTGAGAGAGAGTGAGTGGCCCAAAGTCACTCTGCTGGCTTTCCTGCTAGATTAGAAATTATGGTCTTCTACTTTCTAGCCTGGTGTCTTAACTACTAAGTTAAACTGTTTCTCTTCTTTCTATAATCTATTTTATTCACTCATCAAAACCATAAATCATATTTTTTTAGTTAAAAGAATTGTTTTCTAGTTGGCAATATTGTCTTTTCTCTTATCAAAAAGGTTAATTTGCCATCTCAGCAAGTTTCAACATTTTCACCAACCATTTTCTCATTGTGAGTCATGCTAATTTTTTCCATCTTTGTGCATACAATAATCTCACTACAATTTTATAGTTATTCCATGATTCTTTTCAGCTGTCTGTGGATCAGTCCCAAAAGAAAAATCACTGGTTTCACCTATATATTGCTATTAAAGATCCTCTTAATCAGTGTATGTACAAGTACTTGGATACAGAATTCTTTGCTTTTTAAATGTCCACTAAACATGATAAAATGTCCCTTCTTTTTGTTTACATTTCCAACATTTATATTATAATATAGCATAAGTTTCAACCTTTTCAATCCAATGTTTTCCCTTGTTTTATGTGTAAATTTAACCAAAATTTCTGACCCAATTTTCATATAACCTTTCATTTATTCTTCTGTTTCAAATGTCATGAAAAGTATATTCGTTTTAGCAATTATATGTTCATGATTTGTATAGAATTTGTGACAATTATATCCTTCTGCCATCAGTTCTTTTTAAAATATATATAAATTTCAATCAATACAAGGAAAAACATTGGATTGAAAATATATATATATTTATAT